ACTAAATAATTGCACTTAGCTTGGTGACTTTACAACACTTGATTAGTTATACGCTACCTATTTCAATGTTAGTAGGTACACTGAAAAAAATTATATTGTATTGTTTTACCAAATAGGTTTGTTAGAGAATATATCGTAGTTACTACCAGAAAATTGTAATACATACAATATTATATTGTTTTCAGTACAGTCCTCTTTCAGTTAGTTAGTGATGGTGAAATGAACAAAAAGATTTGCTGTGTTTAAAAATTATTACGTTAATACAACAGAATAATCGAATGAACAAAACTTTTAATAGACGGAACAGAATTTCTGGTAATCTACCAGATTTTATTAGAAAAAATCTATTTTTAAACTGAGAATTTATCGAATACTAATAACCGAACGATCTATAGTGGGTACAGAACATTTGTGATTTCAACCAAACCCTGTGATAATAACAACAAATAATAAGGTTTTCCCGTTATTATTAGATAGTAGATATGCCGATAGTTGATAATGAGTAGGCGAGAGGGTGGTGGATGCCGACGATTATGGTCAGTGCGGATTGCGGATTCTCATGTCTCATTTTACATTTGACTCGTTTAGCGTTTAAGTCGTTTAAGCAATTCGCCTATTCGGTAACTTTGGTGCTGACTGGTGACGCTGCTTGCAATTTTGACTTTTGAAATTTTTATGTTTAAGTAATATTAAATAATAATATTACTGACGCTGTTGGCAATTATAGTTTGAAGTTTTTATATCACACATTATTATATTTTTCTAAAATAAATAATATACAATATAGTAACTACCTATATATTACAATGGCAGACCGCGATGCAGTTGACTTTCTAAAAGCCTGGAGTCTAGAGCAATACATTGAAGTTTTTCGTGGTAAGTACATCTAAATATTTGATACGTTTACAGTTTACTCAATAGCATAGGCTCCCAACATTTTTTTCCCGGAGACCACGTGTCCACGTGACAATTTTTTCAATTTTCGTAGACCACTAATATTGAATTCATTTTTACAAATTAATCGAGGAAAAAGATTCAAAAATAGATTTAAAAAGAATGAAATATTGAATTAAAAAATTAAAAAAGCAAATAAATTAGTCTAGGATATAATTTACTGCCAATTAAAATAATAAAAAAATTTAACTATCTAGTGAATTTTCTTTTTTTCTTCGACAGAAAATGATATAGATATGAAGACTATACCCTTGCTCAGGGGTCTTCAAACTTTTTTATTCAAGGGCCACAAAAAAAATCAAATGCTCTTGGTGGGCCAAAAGTTTATTAACACATATAATTTTTAATTTTATGATAATATTTAGGTACCTACCTATATAAATAATATAGGTAGGTTTATATTTTTGTATAAAATATTGTTTACTTTACAATACACTTAAATAAAAATAAATAGGTATAAATATAATATAATATAATTACATTTTTGAAATAATTTTTTTATCCATATTTACCTATGCGTCCTATGAGGGCCACGGGCCGGTTAAAACTTGTTCGCGGGCCGGATCCGGCCCGCGGGCCGTAGTTTGGAGACCCCTGCCCTTGCTAACTGAAACCATGATGATGGAATTAATTCCAAGTGTTGGACATCGAGCTCAATTAAAATCAAATATTGACCAATGGAAAAATATTATCCAGCAGATACCTTCACCCTCAGTAATTTTATATTATACCTAATTTATATTAATGCATAAGTATATAAATCAATTGTAATTTTAAAATACCTTATTCGTTAAAGTTAATTGGTTATCAGGTATTAAGTTAGGTTAGTACATTGTACCTATGCTGTCTATTTTACAAATCCCTTTTTCACTAAAATTGTTGAACATTTTTAATATTTTATGCAAGTAATTATTTGTTTTTATTTTAGCCTGCATCTTGTAGTAGTATTGACACAGATTTACAGATACCCAATTTAATACAAAATAATGTATGGGTAAGTCATATTTTTTTTATTATAAGTACCTAGATTTAACTCTATCCTTATAATAGGTCATATTATATTTAAATTATTTAATTGTTCTAATATTTCAGTGGATCCTTTTATTTCTATTTCATAACTTAATTTTATTGTAATAAATTTTATATAACTAATTAACTAGCTTTATTATAATTAAATGTATGTACTTAATTATCATAAGTACATATTAATATTCAATAAAATTTTGTATGAGAATAATTTGTTTTAAATTTCAGTCTGAATCTTCCAGTAGTAATGTAGACAAATTACCTGCAGATATAATACAAAATAATATATGGGTAAGTTATATTTTTATTTTATTATATTAAATAAGTTTTTGTGTACCCGCCTGAATTCATTTACAATGAAATTTTTTTTATGTGAATAATTTGTTTTTAAATTTCAGGCTGAAGCTTCCAGTAGTTACAGTAGTAGTGCAGAGAAATCACCAGCAGAAATAACACAAAATAATGTATCAGTAAGCTATTATTTGTATTATATTTAGCACTTAGGTACTTGATTCTTTATAAATATGTTATCGTATTTAAATAATTCATTTATTCTAATACTTCATTGGATTCTTTTTTTATATTTCAAAACTTAATTTTATTATAATTCAATATCAGTACAAATACTATTAAGGTCTTTAACGTCTGCATTTATTTTCAATGAAATATTTTTGTGGCAATATGTAGGGATCATATACATTAAATGTAAGATTATGAACCAAATTATTATATGATTTAGGTAATTTATACAAATATTTTTATCTTGACAGATCAGAACTCATACAAACAGTACTACTATTATAAGTCTTGATATAAGAATAAAGTTGTTATTTAGTTTTATAAGTATTATGCTTGACAATTTTATATTATTTTTTAAATATCAATTTTTTTTTATTCTTTAGAAAGTATTATGAAAATTAATTTAAATAGTAGATTATTTTATTCTTGCAGGAAATATTGGAACTTCTAAAAACTACAAATGAAAGGAAATCGTTATTGTCAACATTTCATCAAAGTGGTTTATTAGATAGTGCAGGTCGTAGGCGTTTGTGTCATTTAATAATAAATAGAGAACTCAGAGATGATGTCCAAAGACGTATTCCATCGTCACGTTTACATAACCTTGCGTACCAAATCACAAAAGTTTTTCAAAATGAACGAGCATCAACTTATTTTATTCCATACATTTCTTACGGACCGGGCTTAAAAAGAGCAGCCAAAGGAAAGCTTCTCGATTGTTTGAATAATAGAAGAAGGGAATACAGAAAGCTGGTTTGATAAATTCATCGAGACGAATCTTCTGAATCATCTTTTAATTCTATACCATTACCGGAAGGACTTTTACAATTGACTGAAGAAGAAGGAAATTATATAGAATCTGTTGTGGAGGAAAATCTCAATTGGCTAAGAAACTCAAGTGATCCATGGGATTTAGTAGAAATAAATTGGAATTTGACTTCCAGCTATCGCTTAAAAAGACTGATTTCACAAGATGGTCCTTCAATAGCAGAGTACATGACTGAGTTTCCATGCTTGAAAAAACCTGCAGGATATCTTCTTGTGAGTGCATGTCATATTATTAATAATTTGTAATTTGTATCTAATTGCTCAATCAATTTTTTTAATTTTATTATTTATCCTTCAGATTTTGAAAGACTTTAACGTCGCTTATCCAAAATCAGTTGACAAACTTTATCAGAACCTACCAATATACAGAAAGAAGATTATCGATCTAACATTGACAAGAACTAAGAAAACTAAAGATACCACTGTACATCAAATTTTAAATGAATACTTACAGTAAAACTCTGACGGTTAGTTAAAATATATTTTGCTTAACAATTACTAAATTAATATTTTTATGAATCGAACAATGTCTCAAAAAAATAACAATCCTTGACTTGATTTTTATTAACAAATACATAGTACTTCTTCGTTAAATAATTATAACAAATACATAATACTTATAATTATTTAATGAATATGTTGTATTCCTAAACTTAATATTCAATTGGTACATGTTTAGTGTTTACTGTATGTAATGGAATTATTATGTTATTAAAATTAAAAATTATAATAAGTAGGTACTAAATTTATTATTATTTTTTTTTTTAGATGAAGAAACATCGAATATAGTTTGTTTGTTTTGTTTGGTCTTCCTCGTTGGAAATTCAGTTGTTAGGGGGAAAAAGTCTACAAGTCAATGGAAGTCATCAAAGTTAGAAGCTAGAGATGGATTTATCACCAAAGTATCAAGTGACGCAGAAGTCCAGGAAACCATTGGAAGAAGGAGAGAAAAGTTATCAAGTCTTGGCCACACATTACAGCCCTTTATAATAATTGTTGGACAAAGCTATCATCATATTCAAAACTACTTGGTAATTGTCGACAATACTATTTATAAACTCCACTCTATTACAGCTGCTGTTGATTGCTGCTTTAAAATATTTTTAACTTTGAATGCAGAATATCCTGTAGAATCCACAGGAATCTGGTATTTTATTCAAAAGGGGTTTTACCAAATTAAAACACCATGGGATAAAAACTATACAACTGTTAGTGCCCTCCTATCTGATATAGGAATTCCTATTATGCAAGGAGAATAATTTTTTTTTATTTACTCAATTTGTATTAAGTGACAACAATTAACAGTTAATTATATTAGTATAAGGTTTTTAAATATATTATAATCTCTTTAATTTTAAAGTTTCAGTAAAAAAAAATTTGTTTATTTTAAATTTAAAATTCCTACTTGTTGTTATATGTAACCAACAATTTGTGAATAGTTATATTCTTTTTAAACACTTAGATCTATATCATCTTAAAAGTATTGATTTTTATCTATGTGCCAAAGTAATTTTTTTTTTTATTTACTGAATTTATATTAATAAATAGGGAACAATTAACAGTAAGGTAATAAATTACCAGATAATTTATTGTTAGTATAAAGTTTTTAAATATTTTATAATCTCTGATTTAAAATTTCAAGTAAAAGGTAATTTGTTTATTTTAAATTAAAAATGCCTACTTGTTTTTTATGTAAACAACATTTTGTTAATAGTAATATCCTTTTTAAACACTTTGATCTATATCATCCTCAAAGTATTGATTCTTATCTTTGTGCCGAAGGAAATTGTTTAAGATCGTTTTCCTTAAAAAATTCTTTTCGAAAACATTTGTTAAACCATAAGACAATAGAAACTATTGAAACAAGTTCTGACATCATTATACAACCTTCTACTTCCCAGCAACTCAATGAAGATATTTTATTAAATTCTATAACTCCTACATCAGATAATGTATCTAATCCAACAGATTTTTTAAATAAATCAATAAGTTGTTTTCTTGCGTCTCTTTATGCAAATCCAGTTATGCCAAGAAATGCTGTTCAACTGGTGGTTGATGGTATCGATAAGGTTATAACACAAGGTATTTTACCGTGTATTGATTATTATGCCGAGCAATTATTGAACCATGGTGAAATTTCCCCAAAATCTTTTGAGGCTTCTAAACATATTTTGAAAGTTATTGAAAACCCTGTATCAATTTTAAAAGTGAACATAAAAGATTTAAATATTTCAGTGAGCAATTATGTACATATATAGAACCCAAAGAAATTATAATTGGACAAAGGCTGAATACAGTTTTAAGAGGGGGTTTATCTACCTTAGAACCTTGTAATTGTACAATGCAACTTATGCCATTACGTCAGATTCTTCAAAAATTTTTTGCTTTAGAAAACGTACTAATTGATACTCTGAAATATATGGAAAGTTTGTCTAACAATAATAGTATTATTAGCAACTTTATTCAGGGATCTTTTTGGCAATCTAAATTACAAAAACATAATGGCCGTACTGTTTTACCTCTGTTCATGTTCTTTGATGATATCGAAAGTGGGAATGTGCTTGGTAGTCACTCTGGGATTCACAAATTAGGAGCAGTATATGTATCTGTCGCATGCATTCCTCCATATCTTATAACAGTTTTGTCTAATATTTTTATGGTTCTCTTGTTTCATTCTGCTGACCGAGAAGAGTTTAAAAACAATATTATTTTCAAACCTTTAATTGATGAGTTCAATTTTTTACAAAGTAATGGCATTGAAATTAATACACCTGTCTTTAAAGGAAAATTATACTTTGAATTAGGTCTTATCCTAGGTGATAACTTAGGTTTACATGCTATTACTGGCTTTACCGAAAGCTTTTCTTCCAATTTTCCTTGTCGGTTTTGTATGATACAAAGAGATAGATTGAAAATCTTATGTTATGAAGATGAAACTCATCTCAGAAATGTTGAGCAACATAATGTATACGTTATCGAACAAAACATTTCAGCATCAGGAGTAAAAGAGGAATGTGTTTGGTTAGGTATAAAACATTTTAGTCTCTTTGACCAGGTAGGTGTGGATTGGATGCATGATTTTCTTGAAGGTTGTGCAAAATATATTTTTGCTTTTATTATACCTTACTATGTTAATGAATTAAAACTTTTCTCTCTTCAAATTTTAAACAATAGAATTTTTGGTTTTGATTTTGGCCCTGAAAAGAATAAACCTAGTGTGTTCACTAAAGAAAAATGTGAATCAGGGAAATATTCGACAGTCAGCATCTGAAATGTTAGTATTGATTAGATATTTTGGATTATTAATTGGAGATTTTGTACCAGTTGAAGAGCCAGTATGGACATTGTACATTACTATGCGTAGAACTTTAGATATTATGTTATCAGTATCACTTGAAAAAGATAGCTGCTCATTGCTCAGAACTTTAGTGGGGGAATTAAATGAATTGTATTTAAAATACAGTAAAAAATATCTGAAACCAAAATTTCATTTTATGCTTCATTATCCTGCTTTGATTAATAAATTTGGTCCCATTTCTCATCTCTGGTCTATGAGATTTGAAGCCAAGCACAGAACATCTAAAATTGCTGCACGATCAAATTTTAATAGACGTAATATTTGTTTATCATTTTTTTAAAATCAGACAGGGGCAAATGCCCATCTTTCCACTCCCCAAATGACGCCACTGTCTTGCCCTCTGAATGTACATACAATTGAATACAAAATTAAACGTTTTGAGTTCACTCAATGTCTCAATGTGCAATATGTTTTAGGTGATCACAGGCTTCCATCACGGTAAGCCTCAGTATTGATGGTTAGGTGACCAGCCAGGGCTTTTGGGACTATACTTCGTAGGTACGTTCCCCTACGGCCTATATTATGGTTATATATCATGTGTCTAGTCATATACCGAAAGATTCGCTAATCCAAACCTACTGACTTAGAAATTGGCGGTGGCTGCGCAAAAATATACGTCGCTTACTTCAGTATATTTTTATGAAAAGAACGCCTGTGCGCCAAGGTTGGGAAAAACACTTTTAAACGTTATATTTGTATTTTTGTTTTCATCTTTTAATGAAGCCCTATACATTTATTATAATAGATCATTATGTCATTGTGGTATTATTATTGTTAAAAAGGGCGGGTAAGTGTATGTCGATTCTGCTGTACATTAGGTTATAAGTAGGTCACTGTATAATGGATGGTATCAAATTTGAATCCAATGATATATCATTGCATAAGAAAAACGATTCTGAGCGGAGGCGATATGTCAGTCTAGGTATATGAACAAAAAATATTTTTAAAAAAAATTGACCTATATAATAATAAATTTCAAATTAATAATCATATCAGAACATTCAATATCCACTAGGCATTAGGTAGTTGAATGCGTTACACATCAACAACAAACCGTGATACTATCATAAACAATACACCACAATGTCGATAAAATACAATTTATTAATTAGGTAATGTGTAATTATTAATTATTAGTGACGATAACTTATAATATTTGATAGTGTATTATAGTAATTAATGTATATTACATTACATTGGGGTTATGAATTATGAATATTTGTCTCGTTATGATGTTTAATTTTAGGTGTCACATATACTCACATGCTAATTTTATTAGTAAAAACATATTTACTTGTAAATTCACCAAGCTTACATAGTTACATCTAGATTTTATTCATGATTATATTTTTATTCCATTTGCATTATTTTGTGTTGTGTTACTTGCAAGTAAATGTGTAGTGAAATAGTATAAGACAAATCAAATCCTGGATTATTTTTCAATACTTTCACTAAACATGTGTAAACATTTGTGGGTAAGTTTTAGAAGTATTATAACTCTTATTTAATATTATTTATATATTAAATTATTTTATGTTTATGTTATTATGTATTATTATTTATTTAGATAAAGAAAATGGCAGCATTGTGTCATTGATGGTGAACATACAAGTTTAGCAAATAATTTGTCCTGAATTATTCCTGCTGAGGTAATAGGTACTCAGTGAATTTCAGTCCAAATTAACTTCTCAAATTGGTTTTACTTTACTGTGGAGCTATTTCAAATAAATTTTAACCGGATTACAATTAATTGTAATCGAACAATTAACTATTGGAAAATTACCTTAATAATTATAATATAAGTATATTAAATTTCATACAATTAACAGTAAATTGATACATCAGTTTAATTACAAGTTCAGTACTTAAATACAGACAAAATACATTGAGTAATGAAGACTATTTCAAAGATTTAGAAGTATAAAATATTAGCAATATGAATTAATAAACATTTTGTACTGTTAAACCAAATTAAGGCCATCAAAAGGTTCAAATGCTTACAAACCACTAATTGTTTAAATAATTTGAATATCTGTAAAAAAAAAACATACATTTATTTAGTAAAATAAGTGTAAGCACATCAGTAGTTTATTGATAGTATTTATCTTAAATGTATTTAATATTCTTATGTGTGTATATAAAATGTATTATTTAGTTTTGTTCAGTATTATTAAGATGTATCATGATATGCATAATGTTTACAGAGTATTACGTATATGCATAAATAGATTTAAACTATATGTGTTTATTCGTTGTATACTAAATGGAAATGTATTAAGATAAATTGCCAACAGCGTATTATCAAAATTTAAAGAGTTAGAAATTGTTTATTGTATTTAAATATTACAAAATATAATGTAACACATTTGGTAATGCAACAAATTGTATTAAAATATTTAAATCATTGGTATAATATTATGAAGGATTGAAAAATAATAAACACAAATGGGATCAATGGTTAATAGTTGATACCTATCTAATAATAAATACTTTTGTAGGAGTAATGATAAAATCTGGATCTCTGCTTATTTAAAAAAAAAAAAAGAAAACAATTATTATAAGGTTAGCGCCCTCACACTTTAATCCAGGCTTGAGACTGGCAACTCATACATAATAATAATAATAATAATATTATGAAGGTAATTAGTTGGCGGTTTACACGTTCCTTTTTAAATATTAATCAGACAGTTAATATTATTTTATGTAATTTATATAGTACATATTATTTTTGGTTGGTGTATAGTTTTTGTATATTGTTCTACTTTAAAAATATTGTTATATTTTTTGTAGAATGATAACATACACATCTTTGCTGTTATTCGGCCACCTTTTTTCAGTAATTGTTGTGTCATTGGCGGAAACCCAATTAGAATGTGCTTGTTTTAAATATGCTATATAATGGCCAGAGTTCGTGTTTTGACCAATGTGTAGTATGGCAGCATGAGGTTTGTAACGCGCTCCAGCAATTTGTAAAATACTAGACGGTACACCGCTTAGTTTTAAATTGGTTATCTTGTTGGAAACAAATTGTTCGTTCATGAAGGTCGTAGTTAATAATTTTAATTGAATTATTATATATTCATGGGCTAATGTTATCTGATGTTTACTTTCATAACCTCCAATGTTATTACAATTATTGCATCTGTAGTCTGATATGCTAGACCATACATTTTGATCGGTTGACAATAAAGTTTCCAGATTTTGTGATCTGTCTTGTGGAATATCCAAATGTAGGATCAAGCTGGTTGGTGCATCACTGGTTGTTGTATGACTGCACAAATTGCAACGACTGTTATACACTTCTTGAAATCCAAATAATGAATCAAATGTGTGTCTGTTACGGTTCATAAGTGCTTCTAAAAATTGTACACAATCTTGTTGTTCTTGCAGAGTATAAAATATTGTCTCGTTGTCCAAATATTCTCTGACTGTTCGAGTATTAGATGAGATACTGTTGTCACTATATTCGTCCAGGCATTGTTTAAGTGTCGGTCCAAGTTCATTATTGTGAATTTGGTTTACAAGGGATTCACAATGGAAAAGTACCTGTATGACAGAATTAGCATAACATGAAACATTGTCAATATTTGTGAAGCCACAAATACCACTTGATATTATGCCTACTGGATTTTCGATATTTGGTATTATTTTTTGAACTCTTGATGTAGTTATATTATCACTTGATTCTAATAATATGTTTGAGCTTCTGTTACAATTTTCTGGAACCATGATAGTACAACTATCGACATGAATGAATTCAACATCATCAAAGTTAACATTATTTAACACCTCAGTTGATTTAGTTATGGTTTCAAGTGCCATAACAGTGCCACTATCAACTTGTAAGAATTCTATATCATCAAAACTATTATTATTACTGACCTTAGTTGATTTTACCAG